GACCTCTCCTGGGGTAGGGCGGCTCGCGCTGGAGGCTTGCCGGGTGAGAGGGGACGGACGGCCGGCGTCCCGGGCTGACCCTCCTGGGATCTCTGACCTTACCTCTGACCTCTTCCTGGGACAAGTACACAGAACCTCCGGTAACGGTGACGATATTGTCAGTGCCTCGGACTGCTGTACTTGTTTAGTATCTTGTATCAACACAACGTTTGGGGGCTGGTGTTTCGCATTTTGTGTGTGAATGTTGTTATTGTTGTAATGGTGGTGATGGTAGCTTTTCGCTGTCTTATGTTGCAGTCAGAAAGCTTAGAAAGAAAGACATTCAAAAAATTTCACGTAAATGTCTGGTGTTAAAACCATAACTGCAAGCCTTACTAGTACAAGTACAAGCCTTACAAGCCGTACAAGCTTTAAGTTAAAGGTTAGGGGCACTCCTGGGGCGTGTTAAAAAAACACCGGCTTGAGCGGCTGGGATCAGCAGTCGCTCGCATGTCATCCGAATACGCAGGACATCGTGGAAAGCAACATATTAATAGGTGTCATGCACCGTATCTACTTACATTAACGTACCTGTGTCAATTTTTTACTTCAAATGGCTGGGTCGCAGCGACCAAGTGCCTTATAAGGTGATAGTAATCTTTTTAACAGCTGGCGGGTTTTCAATGAGCTGCCACTATTGTCATTTTCAGATGCTTGGAAACAACCGTAAGGTATTTGCCAAGAACCGTCCGCACCTCCATTGTTCGTCAAAAATCACCTTCACTGTCATTACGACCGGTGCGGTGACCTCCAAACCGAGCCACCGGGTTAAAACAAAACATCGCGCCGTTTTCCGCCCCCTTCATAGAGATGCTACACCCCGGCGCACAAAGCCGTAGTCACTGTTTTATATTGGGTGTCATATAAGTTTTTCCGAACATTTGTCATGCATTCGATTTATTAGTTATGTATTTGCTATATTGTATTACGCCATTATATTAACGCTTGAAACGACATGATATATCTATATTTTATTTAGCTATTTTTGTATCATTTACATGTTTTTTATGAAAATCATCATGGACTTCCATGCTGTATATGAATACAGCAAAGTTAGACCCCAGTTGGCCGAGGCGGTCGACTGTTTTGGTGTTTGGGATGTGGACGGCGGGACGAAAGCCTTCGTGCCGACACCACCCATTAACGAGCCTGCCATCGCTAGTGTTTTAAGGGTTGCTGCTTTATGCGCTGCACGCGCGACAGCCAGTGCACGGAGCAGACCTTTGACGCCACGTTCGCGCAGTGTGCAGCACCGGACGGGCTGCTCAGCGTGGGGAACCACTTCATCTGGGGATGTGTGGAGCGGTGTTCGGGCCACCTGCTGTTCTGGTGCGCTGACGCGTCACATATGAGGCGCAGCGTTGCTGGCGCCTGAGTGGGATGGTGTAGTGTTCTTCGGGCGCCTGCGTGTGGTGGCCGCAGCGCTGGCCTCTCCTCTGACCCGTGTTTTGCTCTAATCCGTGGTGATACGTCCTCCGCCCTGATCTCTGGCCCGATCCCGGCGCCGTCTGACCTCTGTCCCGGTCCGTGCGCCCTCTGATGACGGGTCTGCCCGCTGGTGACCTGTAATCGCTGCTCTCAGCTCGCTGCCGACCTGACCCCCCACAGCCCGCTGCTCTCAGCCCACTGGCTCTGACTTCTAACCCTCGACCCCTGACCTGACCCCTTACAGCCCGCTGCTCTCAGCCCACTGGCCCTGACCCCTACAGCCCTGCTGAGTGACCCTGACTGACTGACCATGCCGCCGGTCACCGCCAGACCTGCACACGGACGCGCGGCACCGGCAGCTGCTGGCCGAGGTGCACGGCACGCTGGCGCAGCTGGTCGGCGACGAGCGGCTGGTGCACAGCGGCGTGCGCACGGCCGGCTATCAGTTCACGGCCGACCTGGTGCTGCACCGGCGGCCGGACGGCTCCTTCACCGACGCCGACGGGCCGCGCGTCACCAGGTGGGTGGCAGAGCGGGCCGGCCAAACACCGTCCACACCCACCACGGCACGGCGAGGCGCGTGGCCGTGCCGGCCAGCGCGCATGCGCACCCTGTCGAGGAGTACAGCGTAGCCGGGTAAACACGACAGAACTCGCATCAGGCCACGGTGGTCTTACGGCTGTTGTGCTTGACGGCGTTCGAGATAGAGTTCAGTCGTTTCTTTTTTAGCACGTCTGCCTAAAACAGTCTCCAAGCGTTGGTGGACGGGCAACTCAGTTATACGCATCATGTGCGGGAGCTAAAGTACACTGAGGTGGGCTGCCTTGGGAGCCTTCGCAACTCGGGGCTGGAGGTGCGGGTCACCTCGCAGCGGGAACAGTGAGGTGGCGGGGGGGGGGGAGGGGGGGGGCTCGAGCCCGAACCCACGGATGTCGACGGGCTGGGCTGGCCTCGTGGCCGTTTCGCTGCTGCCATTGACCGTGGGCCCGCGGTGTGCTGCAGTGTCGCCGTGCTGGTGCCCTCCACCAGCCACTACTGCATCAACACAGCCCAGCTGACGGGACCGCAGCTGCTGCGGCAGCGCCACCTGGAGATGCTCGGCTTTACGGTGCGGGTCGTCCACCCGCACCACTGGAACAGTATGGCTCTGGCGGACCCGGCCGACAAGCTGAGCTTCCTCGCTGCGCTCATAGATGGCAGGAATCTGCTGGAGGAGCGCTCGTGATGCGGAGCGTGCGTCACTCCGGTCTCGTTGCCTGTGTGATCATGTGCAGCTGTTGCAGTGCAGCGCGAGCGAAGTGATGGCATGTCTGTTATCCTAGTCGAGTCTCTGGATGTGAGATATCTTCAGGTGTAAATGGTGAATGTGATACATTTTATACTTGCTGGTGTCATTACGATCAGAGGCAATATGTGAAGGTAACTGCTCATCGACAGCACTGTAGAAATTGTGCGCATCGCGCCTGATATAAAAAAGGGCGCTGGCGTCAATGCTGTCCTATTTTGACCTTCCCGACGTTCCCCTTGGCCTTGACCTCGGCCGGCAGGATGGACGCCTTGTTTGTCGGAATAAGCACATTTTATAAGGTGATTGAGTCGTAAATTATAGTGGATGGTAAAAAATCGAGATCAGTATCGAAATATTTTCCGAAGCATGCTACCAATATTCCGTACAATTTCTTATTTAATTGGAAAAACAAGCCCAAAATGTATACTTTTTGACAGAATGTTCGAATGTGAATACTTCATTGTCTCCCCGATACTAGCCACTTAAGTCCCGTGAAATCACTTGCAGAGCAGTCTGAATCTATTCTGCACCACTGACATGCGTGTCGTCATGCAAGTTTGACACGCCCGGCCGGAACTGTTGCAGCTGGCACGGCCAGTACTCCGGCTATGGCTAGCACTCCGTTGGCCCCAATTTTAACGGAAAGTACGAAAAGGAACCGCGAACGGCGGGTAACGGGGTGCTGAAGAAACCCAGTGATTCCCGGGCTCTGACCCCGTGAGGTCATCTGGTGAGCCATGCTGGTCAGGCCGGCCCTAATGCTTGGAGACGATGAGTCCAAAAATGGAGCTTACCTAGCCGTAGAAACACATCACGGATCACGAGGTTCCGCCCTGGATCAGTTCACTGCGACAGGTGGTCCAGGGCCCACTCAACGCAAAAAAGGTCACAGGTCATCACATTCAATGTCAAGTGTCATATATCGGGCTGATCGTTGCAGGCGGGCGTACAGCATTCGAGCGTATGTTTCAGGGGATTGTAAAGGTTTCCTTCTAGAAGTGGCAGGCAGTTTATCCATTTATTTCAGCTGCAAATCAGCCCTTGTTCATGCGATGCGCTATCTTGACAACTGTTAGCGTGGGAACGGAAGAAATTTCCAATGCTTATCAAAGAAAACTACCCACCCAAGGCTAGTGCCCGCTGCTACAATACAAACCACTCGACGTCATTCTCATTTTAGGAGCAAATTACGCGCTATGCGTACTCAACGTGACAACAGTGTAGCCTTGAAATGCGATGGCACAACATGTGTATGTAACGGTTGTTACTGCTTGTTTGCGCTGGTGGCCCGCCAACCGGCCATGTCGTGTTACGCCGACGTGTTCTTCCACTTTGTTGTGACGCATCCGTGCCACGGCAAAATAGCTGTGCTACTCTTTTCAAAAGACAACCAAAACGTACCAAAAACATACAGTATACTCTGCCGTTGCACGGCAGAGTGGTTTCGTTTTGTTCCTGTGCTGACGTTGCATGGTAATTATTCCCAGCAGAGCAGCATGCTGTGTCATGCCACTGAGCATCTTCTTCAACCATTGTCTTTCCCCGTTCCCTTCGATTTTGTGTTACCGCTGACGCAACGAGCAATGCTTTGTCCTCATGCTCCGCAATTTAGCGTGGCCACTCTACCGATTCGTAGTCACGGACACATACCAAATCGATAACCACAAGCTCACCAAGCCCACATGGCAAAAAAGCACTGTGACTGTGCGTGACTGGACGTTGTTACGTTGGATTCACGTCCAGCATGGTATTCCAAATGACGCACACGGACGTAATGAGTCGCGCCGTCTCCAAGCAATCTGTCCGTTAACATAACGCACGCCTCTGGCGTTGATCCAAAGTTCTGTCGGGTAATTACTGTCATACAACACAGGTTACTGACGAGCGCCGTCAGTGACGGCTTTTAATTGTATTTTCTAGCAGCGCATTTAGTGGGTTGGTTTACGCTAGCAAATGATGGCGAATCGAAAGCAAAAGTATGATATCCGACGTGGCTTTTTGAAATATTAGCCTATTTGCAGCTTTATAGTTGGACCGAAAATTATCCTAACGTGATATTTCATGAAGTAAGGTACATCTAATATTCATGAATGCCTATGCAGCAGTTGCTTCGCTATGATCACGAAGCTTACCAGGGTAACCAAGGACGCGTTTTAATGGTCCACCATTGCTGAGCTGATAAGCAATACACGCATTGTAAGGAGTAATCTTAACTCACGTCCACTGTGTCTTTCTGCCTTGCTCACAGTTTTCCAACAATCTCCCACCGTTCAGTCCGTTTATTTGACATACAACTGTCTCTAGCAAGGCGTACACGTAATACAGGACTTGAGTACGTCACAACCGATACACATAATTCGGACAGTGACCCCTCAATGCAACGGCGGGTGGCCGCAAGGGTCGTCCCATGCGCCACGGTGCATAAGGAAAATCCCGAAAGCAGTACATGCCGTCGTCTGCCCAGCGATCTTTAAATGAATGCCTCCTCGCGGCTTTCCCTACGTCTCTTCTCCATGTTGGTACTGGATGCTGCGGTTGCCTGCGGCGCACCAATCGCATGTCCTATGGCACGGACAGGTCTGAAGCCGCTCGCGCGGCTGCGTGTGTGCCGCTCGGCTTCAGCGGCTGGCAGGTGTCGGGTCTCGGCCAGCCAGCAGCCCGGCGTCGGGTCGGATTATGCCAGCGATCACGTAGGCCGCTGCCCTGACTTGAGCGGGAAAGCTGCTTTCGTATACACGAGCGGCTGGAAAGCTAAACTGGAGACTACAAAATTCCCCTGCATTTGAGCATTCTCGCTCAGTCATCACAGTGCTCACACAAGGCCAGCCGACGTTCCCAAGCACGGGCGTCTACCTGAACAGCATCCAATACAGCAGCACAATGATCACAACTACGATAACAGCGTTCCTGAGCTTTCTCAGCAACACCTCATTGGCGCCTCGCACCGTGGCCACAATCTCGTTATTCCTCAGGAACACCTGTTTGCTCTCCTCGACCACCCGTTCCCGCGTGACGTCATCCAGCAGCTGGGCGGCGTGATCCATGGCGGCGGCCAGCTGGCGCTTGAGGTGGCCGATCTTGTGCTGGCCGTAGTAGGTCACGGCGTTACCGGCCTCGTCACTCTCGCCGCGTCCGAGCAGGCGGCCGACCAGCTGCCGCTTGCGGCGCAGCACCTGCCCGCCAGACAGCAGGCCCATGTACAGGTGGTACACGTACGCCATGAGCAGGTGTGGCTCTTCGCGCTCCAGCTGCTCCAGGTGCTCCAGGTAGCGGCGCACGGCCGGACGCGGCACGTGCGTCCCCTGCCAGTCGGCGCCAAGGTAGAAGGTCAGGTCGGCCTCGAAGGCGTCGCGCCGCCGCATGCCCTCGATGTCCAGCTCGCCGACTAGTGAGGCGCCGAGCCGGTCCAGCGCGCCTTCCAGCCACGCGAACACGTCGTAGAAGACCAGCAGGCCCTCGGCCCACACGCCGTTGTCGGAGAGAGCTGCCGGCCGGCGACGCTGGTCAGAGCGTGGGCGGCGCTGGTCAGAGCGAGGGCGGCGCTGGTCAGAGTGAGGGCGGAGCTGGTCAGAGTGAGGACGGCGCTGGTCAGAGCGGAGGTGGCACTGGTCAGAGCGGGGGCGGGGCTGATCAGAGCGAGGGAGGCGCTGGTTAGAGCGGAGGCGGCGCTGGTCAGAGCGGGGGCGGGGCTGGTCAGAGTGGAGGTGGCGCTGGTCAGAGCGAGGGCGGCGCTGGTCAGGGTGAGGGCGGCGCTGGTCAGAGCGGAGGTGGTGCTGTTAAGGATGGGGGTGGCGCTGGTCAGAGCGAGGGCGGCGCTGGTCAGAGCGGAGGTGGCGCTGGTCAGAGCGGGGGCTGGGCTCGTCAGAGCGAGGGCGGCGCTGGTCAGAGTGAGAGCGGCGCTGGTCAGAGCGAGGGCGGGGCTGGTCAGAGCGAGGGCGGCGCTGGTCAGAGTGAGGGCGGCGCTGGTCAGAGCGGAGGCGGCGCTGGTCAGAGCAGGGCAGGGCTAGTCAGAGGGAGGGCAGTGCTGGCCAGAGGGCTGCTAAGACCAGGCCCAGGGAGTGGTCAGCGACCGACGCCGCTCGGCTGAAGCACCGGCGCGGTTGATGGGCGCCGCTGGTGTCAGAAAAACAAACCCAAAAAGCAAAACAAGCCAAACGCGGTGTTGCTGCACCATCCACAAAGCTTTTCTCCTGACACCACGTTGGCGTACTTCACTTGCGTATGGCTAATACAAACCATAACGATATGTCGTTCCGCAGATCTAAGCCCGGACAGTCGTCACGAGCTTGTCACTTACCGATGCCGAGCTTGGCGTTAATGAGGGCGTCACTGATACCATGCACATCTCTCGTGGCCTTCCGCATCTGCTTTGTGAAGGGAATGTCCACGATTTCTTCTGCTTTCGGAGCCATGGCTGCTGCGTAAATCTGCAATAATAAATCACTGTCAAAGTCACGTCAAATGCGTTCTGGCATCATCAACCGTCAAAGTCCCGCCAACGGCAGGTCCAAGTAGTGCAGCACGGCCAAATGCGTCGGTGTGGTGCGGTAACCACGCTGTAAGCACATAAGAGGCGGAGGTTGCACGGAGTCGCATTCTAGCGCTCTCTAGTGGTAAATAGCATCAGCGACGCCCAGTCGCACCAGCTGCGAACAGACATCGTGCAACTCCACCTAACAGTGCTGATAGCCGGAGCGTCTCTGGGGCGGCGCAACATGTGGATCCCGTGTTACGCAGAGGGCGGATACTGGGCGGTCGTGTAGATAACCAACCGGACATTATGTTCTGATAGGTAAGATATGACCAAACCCACCACAGCTGACGGGGCACGACCGTCAGGCCATGTCGAATAAATACGCCACGATCCGAGAATAATACGATAATCTGTATTACACATTGTGCAAAATACGTCTGCGCAAAACGTAAGACACACCAACAAAGCATCAATAAACCATTAAAAAAGTACCAAGCCATCCTGCTGCTGCCACTGCTACTGCTCCAGTGCCGATCGCAACTTCCGTAACTCTTAGCCTGTTTCGGGGATAGCGAACACAACACATCGTCATGAACAGGTATTGGTAAAACAATGCAAAAGCGCACAAATTTTCAGGTGATATCTCTCCCACAGAGGCGTTCACGGCACATGCAGCTCAGCTTCCACTCTCGTCTCGTGGGTTCGGCGACCCGTGCAGTGCAGTGAGCGGCTCGTCCCCCGCTGCGGCCGGTTCTGACGCCTCTCCGTCGGCCACGGTCTCGGCGCGGTAGCCGGGACACATGCGCTCCACGGTCCGGCGCCAGTCGGGCGTCACGTGCACCTCACACGTCACCTCGCCGAACACCTCGCTGCGGCTGACCTCGGCGAAACCCAGCGTCGCGAACAGGTGCCGGCTCGCCTCGTTCTCCAGGCCGATCTTGACCTGGAAGCGTGTCAGCCGCAGCGTCTCCAGGCCGTAGCGAAGCATGGCGGCGGCGGCCTGGCGGCCTCGGCCGGCGCCGCGCGCCCCCTGCTCGGCAATCATCACCTCCACCTCGGCGGCGCCGGCCTCGCCGTCCGCCAGGAACAGGTTCACGTCGCCGATCATGGCCGCCACCTCGTCGGCCGCGCTCTCGTACGTGGCGCGGTCGAGCACGATGAACGTGCACTTGCCGTCGTCCTCCCGCCAGCTGCGCTGCATGGCATACTCCTGCGGCAGCGTCAGCGGCTCCGAGGCCGTCAGCTGCTGCAGCTCCGCCGACTGCATCCAGCTGTGGTACTTGGGCACGTGGCGGCGCCGGTATGGCACCAGCGTCAGCAGCTCCGTCCACAACACGGTGCATGCGTTGGTCCTCATCGCCGCCGGCGGCTGCAGGAGAAGCTGGCCTTAGTTGAGCCAAGGGGCAGTCTCCGGTCTCGCGGCGGACGGCAGACGGCAGACGGCAGACGGCAGATGGCAGACGGCAGATGGCTGTCGGCAGACGGCAGACGGCAGACGGCAGACGGCAGACGGCAGACGGCAGACGGCAGACGACAGACGGCCGAAGGCAGACGGCTGTCGGCGCGGTGATGCAGTCAGCGTGTCGGAGACACCACAAGCTGCCGAGCTACGCACTATCGTCGGAAGACTTGAATTCATCACTGACAAACACTCCTGACCATGACGCGTCAAGACCTTGCACCAAAACATCCTCTACAGTCAAAGTATTCAAGCTCATTACATTCGACGAGAGGCTCTTTAGGAGGGGGGTGGCGTGTATCTGAGCGCCGACTGACTACTGAGCCCCCCGGGCACATCTCTCCGGCTCTTTAGGAGGGAGGTGGTGTGTACCTGAGCGCCGACTGACTACTGAGCCTCCCGGGCACATCTCTCCGGCTCTTTAGGAAGGAGGTGGCGTGTATCTGAGCGCCGACTGACTACGGAGCCTCACGGGCACATCTCTCCGGCTCTTTAGGGGGAAGGTGGCGTGTACCTGAGCGCCGACTTATTACTGAGCCTCCCGGGCACATCTCTCTGGCTCTTTAGAGGGAAGATGGCGTGTATCTGAGCGCTGACTGACTACTGAGCCTCCCGGGCACGTCTTTCCGGCTCTTTAGGGGGAAGGTGGCGTGTATCTGGGCGCCGACTTACTACTCAGCCTCTCGGGCACATCTCTCCAGCTCTTTAGGAGGGAGGTGGCGTGTACCTGAGCGCCGACTTATTACTGAGCCTCCCGGGCACATCTCTCCGGTCGCTCGGTATCAGTCTGTTGTGTCACATCGGGCCGCAGCCCGCAAAGGTTGACGTCAGATGCCCTAACTTATTACGTTTCTCTCAAGCTTGACAGAGACAGTTATCACAGGAACCTAGAAAGATATTCTACAGTTGTCGGAAGCAAAACAGATAAGAAAGAGAGGTGGAGCTAGTCGTCACAGAGAAGACAATGTGCATGTGTAACAGCAAAGCTCAGGCAGTATCTTAGTTGGTTAATCGTTCTGAGGGTTGGCGTCGCCAATATGCGGTAAACCGCAGACGCAATAGCCTGACAGGCTTTCCTAACAGAACAGAGGAACCAGAAAGTCTCGAACGCCTCGCAGATGCTGGCGTCCTAAGGTCTTCTTCTGCCAACAATGATAGGTTCACTCCCCCACTACCCTGTGCGTTGCTGATGAGCCCTTTCCTCGAGTATGTAATCATGATATGGGACCGTCTCGGAACGTCGTACCAAGAGCAGGGAGAGGGGGAGGGGGGGAGGCGGGTACAGCAACGAGGCTCCCTGATGACCTGAGCAGCCTGCCATATCCAGAATGCCCCTGACTCCTCCAGCTGACATCCTCATATCACAGATGTTTGAGGGAGATATGACAGCAGTGTACCAGCTATTTGATGGTTGATGGTTTGATGATAAGTCCATGCCAGAGGAGCATTCCCTGATGTCAACCCCCAAGATGAGCACAGACACCTATGGAGCATCCACAAGCCCAGAGTCTGGTGCCCTGTTCATAGAGTCATTCTGCATATGGGTCATGAGCAGCTGGAATGTACGAATGTGGTCCTTCAGCTTCTCATATCAAGTTTTTTTTAATGGTTGGCATGGTGTGAGAACACACAATGCCAAGCAAGCAGCATGCTGTCAGGGACTATTAGAACAATTTTATGACCACCAGGCTCCTGACAAACCACAATGCTTGGAAGGGATTGTGTCTCAGCAAACCCCAATCATATTTACATTCAAGTCAATGCAGGTACTGTGGAAGGGGAAGCACAATTGCCTAAGATAACATGTATGGCACAATGCCACACAAAAATAAAATTGGGAAATGCCCTAAGGCAGATCAGTGATCTGGAAGGGAGTCACAACTGTAATACATATTTCCTTTCCAGCCAGCAACTTTCAATCATTTCATGCTGTCTTCAGTCCATACACTGACTCATCTGACAGCCATTTTGATGTAATACTACTTTACAATGGTCAATGTCTGCCTATATAGCAGAGCCACATTATGATGGGATTTTTGGTGTTTGATATAAGGATGAAACAATGTAACTTAGCCCTCACACCTAATGTGAAAATATGACATTGTGTGAACCATTCATCTGTAAAATTGTGTGGACAACTGGCACAAACAATGCTGGGAATGATATATATATATATATATATATATATATATATATATATATATATATATATAACAGCATATTAAATCAACATGTTCATGGCCACATAAAATTACTAGAAGGGTCATAATTTGAATAAATGAGTTGGAGAACTTGAGCAGATAAAAGTGATGAAGACTGCCCCCAAAATATGCTAACAAGGGGATTCTTCACCAGATTTGGCCAACTTTCCACTGAAAGTTAGGAGGAGGAGGAAGTGCTGAAGTCCAAGTTCAGGGGTTAAGGGGTTGGGGAGTGGCTGGGGCACCCCCAGCTGAAAAGGAAACCATGCATTCTGCTGATTGCTGTAGGTTGTGAATAGTGGCAAAACACCCCAGCTACACAAGCATTCTCAGCTGGGAACTCTGCTAGACCACATGACAATAAATTGTTATTAGGGCTTTCAGGTGCTTCAGCTGTGATTATGTAATGCCCCAGACTTAGTCTGCAAAAAGTTCATTTGCTTCCTGGATGCACATGCAGCATCCATATGCAGGACCTCAGGCTTCTGCATACTAAGCTCAGGCCAGACTAAACTGCCCTGAACTTTCATATGATTTTTGTGAGAAATGTTTTAGGAATATTTTTTCTGAAATTACCTTTGCAACATCCCCATCCTGTAAGACAATGGCCCTCTGTGGGCTGAAATTGGTCCCAGTCCAGACCATAAGCCAACATCTGACAACTCTGGTTTATGATGAACATGCACTGATATCAATGTAACAATGTCACACCTATGCTATATTCATCAAGTCTGGACCTGGGGCATCATCACAATGCTCATAATTTGGTGCCATCTTTTATCAGCACATTACAAAAGACGAGCACATACGAGGCTACACTGCCACTCTTCAATATTTCTTTAGATTGAATGCATATTCTTCTAGTCAGATCTGCTTTTTCCCAAGACACACAATTGGGAACTTCTTTGACACGTCCAGGACCTTTCACTCCCGTATTGCCCGACGCACATCCCATCTTTCTCTACACAGGCAGCAACAGGAGTACAGAAAATCACACGCCTAAGTATATGCTACCGTATCCGTACAGTGTCGCGGATCCTCGCAGCACAATGTGAAAGCGTCTCCCCCCAAGCTAACCCAGACCTGAAACGGCGTTGACTAAAGCATGCTAAGACATTGATATTTAGCCTGGCTTCCGCGGCTTCAGAATACGTGCGCTCACAACTGGATGTACTGCGTCATATTTGTAGTCCTTTCAAAATGATGAGGTACATAATTTTTTGAAATAATTGCATTATTTGCTACGAGCAACATTTAGCTGTGACATTTAATAGCTTAGTATTTCCATTTCTGAAGAGTTTTAAGGTTGATTGAAAAAGGCCTAATTTGCTCCTATCATAAATTACAAAACTACGTTCAAGCATTTCACTTTTTCTTTCTTTTACTAGTTTACCCTCTACATACTCTTTTAGCTACCATATATATTTTTGTACACTTCTGGCTCATCGTTTGCAATTCGTGGCACCCGGTTCCTGTTTGCATTTTGCTGGCGTTTGGCGGTAGTACGCGAGGGTGGTACGCACGAGATGTGCTGGTGAAGAGTGGCTCTGTTGGTCGGTATCTTGGCTTGTTTCCACAGGTTGTAAGGTATCTGTGGGTCTGTGGTCCCATTCGCATTACCCCCGTTCTAAATAGTTCCACGCTCTCACGTTCACGTTCTCGTTCGTTTAAGAGACTTTAGACCATTCATTACGTAAAGGGCCTTGTCACATTGCATGCATCTCGCTGGAGAGTTCTCAAAAAGTTTCCCTTTTGTGGCAAGAATGTTTTGTATCTATTTGTCCAAAATTCATGTTATATAATGTGGCTTGGTGACTAAGTTCATCTACTCACTAAGTTCCTTTTTTACTGTTCCGTAATCAAGATGTATTTCATAAATGATATAAATAAACTATCACTTTAATTAATGCACTTCAGTCACTTAAGCATGGTCATTTTTTAAACATAATTTTTTCACTGGACAGGATTGAGTGTTTTTTTGTGGAAGGCAATATCACAGCTTATTCAGATTATGGCCTGACTCATTGGCCAGCTGCATGCTGGCAGCTTTATGTCATTAAGGTGAAACAATACACCTGATGTGTCAGTTGCATCAAGTATAGCTGTACATCAAGTCCAGGGTAGTTCCCCAAACCAGAAGGGCAGCATTAAATAAAGCATGTAAACTCATTTCTGAAATCATAGCTTTTAAGCAATTTTGGTCTTGCATTGAGATGCAAAGACTGATGCTCATGGGTGTAAAATGAATTATGATAACCTTGATGCTCCACATGTAGGCAGAGATCTTTCAAAATGTGTGGCTATTCTATGCTGATGACTGAACCATCTTATGGCCCAATGTCTAGACACATGGATTGCAGCATGCTGGGATTGCCACCTATTAGTATAGTTTCTACCTTCTGTAGGTACTTCATTGCCTCTACATCTTTCAGAAAAAGATTGTTTGCAGCTTGAAAAGCTGTCAGCATTACCCTACTCCTTGCCTTGTCTTTCCTGAATATTCATGATGTGCATTTTACAAATGAAATATGTTGATGGTATTAAATTACCTCCCATCATTTTTATCCTTGCTATTCCAAGCTTGATCTAATTTGCATTTTCTTTTCCAGGTTTATTACAACTCAACATGGCTGATGATGAGCAGGTTAGGCACTTGGGCTGTCCAACATGGCCAGCTTGAATATAGATATGCCTAGGCAGATTTCCCTATTTCCAGCTAGTACCAGCATGGTTTGTGTAGCTATCATTTTTAAAGGTATGTT